GAGTGGGGAGGGGGGGAGTGGGGGCTGGGGGTGTGGCTGAGTTGGTGCAATGCTCAGCATGAACAAAGCCCTGGGTTCCACCCTCAGCACCTCATAAACAGGCATGGTGGTGCACAGCTATGTCCCCAGCATTTGAGACTCGAAGGCAGGAGGATCAGAAGTTCAAGGTTGCATTTAACTACATACCAAATTAGAGGCCAGCCTAGGCTTCATGAGACCCTGCCATTAAAAACAAAAGAAAGACTTCTCTTAACACAACCAACCCTGTCTGAAAACTGAGACATTTCTTTTTCATGCAATTTCGTGCAATCGGCTTATGACTTCTTAAGGAAGTACACATTTTATAACTGGGTGGTGGTTTCGGCACTTGAACTTAATCCCAGGCTCAAGAGGCAGAGCCAGGCAGATCTCTGAGTTCGAGGTCAGCCTGGTCTACAGAATGAGTTCCAGGACAGCCAGGGCTACACAGAGAAAGCCCAGTCTCAAAAAAACAAAAACAAAAAAAGAAAGAAATAAAAAGAAAGTACACATTTTAAATTTTCATCTAGAACTAAAGTTTGAGGGTTAATGCTGCAGATGCAAACAAAAAAATAGTGGCAAACTAGTTTACTGGTATTTTTCCTTGCCTCTAGTTTAACAGCTTAGCAGTGTTACCTAGACTCCCGATGAGACAGGAGCCTCTGCAGGGGCCTCTCACAGTGCATCGCCTACTTCTTACCTGACTTACACCAGACCAATGACCTCCATAAATCCTTATTTCCTCCTGCCCACACTGATACTGAAGGAATTACAGGTTCCTTTTTGCCCTCTACCCTACTATAAGCCTCTGCCCATTGGTTCTGATGGAGCAGCTGGCACTCAATTTGCAATAACCTTTTTCTTAAACGAAACATTTCCAGCAACCGTTTTCCAAAAACGCAAAAGTTTCAACTCTGGTTTTAGATAAACGAGTGCCATTTCCAAGAGTGTAATTTTTATAAGTCGTAAGGCTCAAAGTCTTCTTTGTTGTTGTTGTTCTTTGTAAGTTGTTCTTTAACTTACCCCCGACTCAGTCCATCCGGAGGACCCCAAGCTGATTCGCTCAAAGTGCAAAGCAGCAGCCGCCGCGTCCCACCACGCACGG